TATTATTATTATTATTATTATTATTATTATTATTATTATTATTATCATCATCATCATCTAATGAAAATATATAAGATTCCACATTCACTGTGGTCCTAACAGAAATCAGACACCACTTTATCTGAATGTTTGTCCTTTTTGAGTGCTAATATCTTTAAAAATTTCAGAAGCAGGCAGGAAAGCATTTACTGTTCTATATGTTAGTTCAAATGAGATTTTAGTCCAAATAATATTTTTTCCACATAGCTTCCCTTTCCTGAGAGACAGAAAGATTCAGGGGAAGGTTTTCACAGGGCTGATGCCTTTGCAGGAGAGAATACTTGCCACTTTATGCAAAACCACTATATCTGTTTTGTTTTTTGTTTTGTTTTTCTCAGAGACCCTTTGAGAAACTGAAAAATGCTACAGGCCCCTTCTCCTGAAAAAAACACCCATATAAACATACAAGCACACACAAAAGTTGCATGCAATTTAATTTATGACATTGGAAATTGAGTTCTCTCACATAGGGTTATCTGGGGGAAAAGATGGCAGCGAATACTTGAAAAGATTAATATTTTATCGGAATTCATAGTGCTGAAAAGTAAGTGGAAGGAAACTGAAGGGGGGAAATCTTTTTTTTCTTTTTGCATCTAGTTCATGGGCACCTTAAAACTCATGCATGGAGCACAGATTAAGAACCCCTGAGTTATGTTTCATATAGCACAAAATGAACACGACAAGAGCATTCTTCTCTTTAAAGAGGAACAAGCATATCAAATGGGGGGGGGGGGGGGGATTAAATGGCCAAGCCTTACAAAGCAGCTTTAAAACCACAGGCCACTTTCTGCTTCACTGTTTGCATTCCCACTGCCAAATTTACCCTAGCCTACCAAAAGCTTGCCAGTAGTCATTAAATAACCATCTTTAGTTTTCAGACTAAACAAATACCTAGAGAATGCTTTACTCTTCATGACTATACTGGAATCATAGAATACAATAATAGAATAACTAGAGTTTGAAGGGTTCATAAGGACCATGTAGTCCAGCCCCTGCCGTGCAGGAATACACAATTAAAACATTCCTGAGAATGGGGCATCCAACCTCAATATAACAACATTTAAAGAAGGAGAATCTACCATCCTCAGAGACAGTCTATTTCACAGTCAAATAGCCATTTCAAGAAAGAGGATTTTCCTAATGTTTAAATGAAATTTCTTTTCTTGTAACTTCAATTCATATTCTAGTCCCCTCACACTCAAACCAATAGATATGCTATTTTTACTATTCACTATTTTTATCCACCTTCTTTACAAATCAGTCTTTCTCTTCAATCTTTCTTTCTCATAAATCATGCTTTATGGAGTGTTAGATGAGCACAGTCCATTGAAGAACTGAATTCACGTGGTAACTCAGATATGCCAAGGGAATCTCAAGTCATGGACATTGGCTTCAATGGATTCTCTCTGAGATATTAAAAAAAAATCCCTCCCACTATCTCAAAAATGCTGGTCTTCTTCATCATATTATCCTGCTTATTGTTGGGTGATGTCCACATGGAACTATTATATAGTTCTCAGTTCAGTACTTTTAGCAGGCATCTAAAACTACTAGAATGAGGGCCAGAAGTTTCTACAGATCTACTGCTACATGGCTTTCCCTATCCACACTGAATCCATTATTTCTCAGTCTACCCTATGCACTGTTACTAAAGAAAGCCTCCCATGCAACAGGAGGAGCTGTAACAACTTTCAAGTGGCATCAAAAGCAACCAAAAAGTGAATATACAGCCCCTAGTAATATCTCCAAGAACTCCGCCTCTGTAGCAGTGATTCTTAAATTTGGTTCCCAATATCATATTGGACTAGAAATGCTAGAATATCTAATCATTGGCTATGCTGAATGGGGCTTCTGGAAGCAAGTCCAACAGCATTTGGAACCATGATTGTAAGACATACCCAACCAAGGCTGTGCTGTTGTAATGCTTCTGATCTCTCAGTTTAAAAAACTGTAAGAACAGACTACAGACATCAAAATTGGATGAGTTTAGAAGGATGAGCTGTGGTGGATGAGTATGACCAGGACTGGAAAGTGGGAGAAGGAGGATCTGGGTGCAGTTTCCTGATGAGGGGTAGCAAGGACATAATGACATAACTTTTCAAAAGAAACATATTTTATATTTAATTTTAATTTTTGAAATTTTTAATTTAAATAGGTGTATTAATTGTTTTACATTTTAATGTTTTAAAAATAGTGTTTTAATTGAAGGTACTGTTTAATGCCTTTTAAAGTCTTGTACTTCATACTTTTTTAACTGATCTGTTTTAATTTATTCTGTAAACTGTTCTGAATCCCATTCAAAAGAAAAACTGGATATAAATAAAACAATCAAACAAACAAAGAAACAAATTGAATATGAATACTATGAATAGGATTTACTTTGCTTTTGTATATATTTGATTAGTCTTTTTCACATTATTTGTTTTAGACATTCTGAAAAGAATTTTTCAAGTTTTATTCCATTCTTTTACTAATCCTCTTCAATACACCCCAAAGGTATTGAGTAAAGTAACAAATTACTTTATAAAATATATTACAAGTCCATTTTTATGGCAATGAATTATTTTTGGAAAGTTTTTTTTAATGAGATTCATAACAAATTACTTTTAAGAAGAAAATTACAAACTTTGACCAAACTAGAAAGAGGAAACAATTATGTTTTTAGGGGAAACACTTTTTTCCATGGGAGAAGCATAGACAATAAAAAGGTTTTGCTCCAAATATTATTTACCTTTATTATTATTAATTACAGTTATCCAAATATTTATTACACATATGGCACTTTACAAAGAACATTTTCCATGAGTTCTTTCCCTAAGGTACAAACAAGGGAAGAACATGCAATTATTTCACTTAGACATTGTTCAGTTTAATTACAGTTTAATTAAATACAGATCCTAGCTGGTTCAAAGTCAGTTAAAATGCACCTATAGGGGTCAATAAAATTAAAATGTTTTTGTTGGGACTTTTTGTGTGGAATAATTAAAGGGTATGTCTTATTACATGGTCTTTCTGCTAGTATTTGAAACACATACAGCCCACAAAAAGCAACAACAACACAGTGAGTTATAGTATGCTGTTCAATGACAATGTTTCTTTGGAATTCCTTTGTAAATAAGAATATATATATAAAAGTGGAGAGCTAGGAGTAGCTCAACATATCCCTTGACCATGGTTCATAGCCCCCAACATGCTGTCTTGGTTTTATAAATTAGAAATCTTGTCATCTTCTCATCGAGATCACGAAAATTGTGGCAAACTTTATCCGTTAAGTGAACCGTAATAACCCAAACTTTAACTTCAAGAAAATTACACTTGGAAACACTTCACAGAGTTGCAGCCTGCACAGAAGATAGAAGATTCCTTCTTTCCTTCATTCTCTCAAAAGTATTATTAACCCTCTCTGAAGAATCTTGGATTCCCAACCATTACAGCTCATCTAAAGACTGGAAGAATACATATGCCATCATTAAGACAAGCAAAGTATTTCTAGCAATAAATACAATACAATACAATACAATACAAAAGATGCAGCCACATTAATTTTAAAATGAAACAAGCTATACTATCAAACTATTGATTAACTTTAATCACAGATTGACAAGGTATCCCTGGAGGGAAGTTCATTTTTGTTATGTTATAACTTTGTATAAAGTAATATTAATATCACCATCTAACGTAAGTGACACTTAAAATGGCAGATTGCAAAGAATGTGGTCTTTAATTTTTTAAAATTAAATTTAATATTTAATTAAATATTAAGGAATGGGAAGAAATCCTACTGTGTAGCTATGGCAGCCCAACTATATGCTGCATATTCCAAGTCTATTTTTTATGGCAATGAATTACTTTTGAGATGTTTTGTAATGAGTTTAATAACAAATTCTTTTTAAGAAGTAACATTACAAATTGTGATAAAACGTGAGACAGGAAACAGCCACTTACATTTTTTTAATTTTTTTAAAAAAATTACTTGCATGGGTAAAGTATAAATAAAAATGGTTTTGTTCTCAATATTTTTTACCTTTATTATTATTAATTAAATGTAAAGGTATTCCCCGTTGACAAGGTTGTCAAGTTGTGTTGGACCGTAGGGGGCGGTGCTCATCTTTGTTACTAAGCCGATGAGCCAGCATTGTCAGACTACTCTGTGATCATGGGGCCAGCATGATTGCACAGAACAGTGTTTATCTTCCCACTGAGAAATGGTACCTATTTTTCTACTTGCATTTGCATGCTTTCGAACTACTAGGTTGGCAGAAGCTAGGACTAGTAATGGGAGCTCACCCCATCATGTGGCACCCAGACCTCGAACTGCCAACCTGCCAATCTTGCAATCAACAGTCAACGTCTTAATCACTTGAGCTACCTCATCCCAATTGCAGTTATCCAAATCATCAATTATATTCATATTTATCACCACCACCATCATCATTAACATCATCATCATCAAGGGTTTTAAACAGCCACAGCCACAGCACTATGGAACAGGGATAGCAGATTTTCTGTGGTTTTCTCAGGAAAAGGCAGCCTCTAGTCTCAGGCAGCCTACTTCTCAAATAGGGTCCTCAGAGCTAAAAATGCCCTAGGACAGTGATGGTGAACCTTTTAGGGACCAAGTGCCCAAACTAAAAGGATCTCTGGCATCAGGTGTTACCTGGTGCTGGGGATGGGACTTCCAGCAGGATGGAGATGGGACTTCTGGGGCGGGACTTCCGCCCACCCTCCTGAGCCTTCAGCTGCCTCTCTGGAGACAGCTGAAGGCCCAGAAGGGCCAGGAAGGAAGAGGAACAGACATGCACCTTTTCCTCCTCTTCCCCAAACTCTGTGTGCCACAACAAATGGCTTCAAATGCCATCTCTGGCATACCTGCCATAGGTTCACCACCACGGCCCTAGAAAATGTGGCTAGTAAAATTCTATCATGTGGCACAGGGAATTTTGCAAGCCACCCTTCTCAGGACCAGCATGGTGTAGTGGTTTGAGCACTGGACTATGACTCTAGAGAGCAGGATTCGAATTCCACTGGGTAACCTTGAGCAAGTCACAGTCTCTCAGATGATGTCACTGGCAAACCCTTCTGAAGAAAACCCTGTGATAGATTTGCTTTAGTGTCATCATAATTCAGAAATTACTTGAAGGCACACAGCAACAACATTTCAGGGCACCTTCAAGCTACAAGGACCCCCAAAAAGCCAACACTGTAGAAACAGACTGCTCAAACCACATTTTTATTTATTTACCTATTTATTATTTAGTATCCCACATTTCTCCTATGGTGGCTTACATTGTGCAATGGAAACAAAAATGCAGCGAAAATGAAATATGGCACAGAAATTTAAACTATTAAGTAGACAACCAAGGAGCAGGATTCTCTATGACAATAAAAATAACATTATTCAAGACCAGGAAGGAATAAAAATAGGTTGGATGCAATACACAGAAGAATTATACAAAAGAGATGAAAATGAAGGACACATGGAACAAAGAGTCATATGAAGATAAACCTCAAATTGTAAAAATCAAGGTGAAAACTGCAATAAGAGAAATATTGTTGTTGATGTTGTTATGAAGTTTTATGAAATAGCAAAAAACAAATCACCAGGAACAGACAATATTCCAATTGAACTGCTGCAATCCACATTAACAGAGTCAACTTTAGTGCTAACCAACATATGTCAACAGATATGGAAAAGAAAATGATGGCCAACAGATTGGAAGTGACCAATATACATCCCCATCCCCAAAAAGGGAGGCACAAGAGACTGCAGCAACTATAGGACCATAGCACTGATCTCCCATGCAAGCAAAATTATGCTGAAAATTCTGCAACATGGACTCCAACCATACATGAAGAGAGAAATCCCAGAGATCCAATTGGGGTTCAGGAAAGGAAGAGGCACTAGGGACCACACTGCAAACATACAATGACTAATGGAGCGCATCAGGGAATCAAAAGAAAATCAGCATATGCTTTATAAACTATAGCAAAGCCTTTGACTGCATAGAAAATAAAAGGCTATGGAATGCCCTTAAAGACATGGGAGTACCAGCACATCTGATAGTCCTGATGAGGAATCTGTACTCAGGACAAGAGGCTACTTTCAGAACAGAACATGGAGAAACAGAATGGTTCCCAATTGGCAAAGGAGTCAGACAAGTTTGCACCCTTTCACCCTATCTGTTCAACTTGTATGCAGAACATATTATAAGGAAAGCAGTCTTGGACACAGAAGAAGGAGGAGTGAAAATAGGAGGAAGGAATATCAACACTCTAAGGGGCTATGCAGATGGGTGGCTCTGGGCCGTCTGTGCTAGCCGCAGATTGGGGCCCTGGCAACTGCACTCTGCGGCCTGAATCATTCCTTTTGCCACACCTAAGAGCCAACACGGTGGCTCTTCCGCACTCTTTTGGTGCAACATGTTTACACACTGTACCGGGAGGGCGTCCTGACACCGCATGCTATGCGTAAGGGCGCACAGCATCAGGACAGCGTCAGGCTGGGGTTGGGGCAGCCAACATATGGCTGCTCTGCCCCAATTCCACCCTCAGGCCAGCCCTTTGGGCTGGTCTGCATAGTCCCTAAGATATGCAGATAACAATCGTATGAGCAGAAAATCTGACAGACCTGGAACACCTACTAAGGAAGATCAAAGAAGAAAGTACAAAGGCAGGCTTAATGCTGAACATAAACAAAACAAAAAATAATGACCACCGAGGACTTTCACAAGTTCAACCTAGACAATGAAGAAATAGAAATAGTAAAATAATGCTTATACCTGGGATCAAACATTGATAGAAATGGGGAGTGGAGTCAGGAAATCAGAAGAAGATTAAGAAAGGAGAGGGTGGCTATGAAA